AAATGCTAGCTATTTTGACAAATAGAATATGGTTATTTAATACAGGTTGAGAAATTATCCCTAAAGCTAATTGGTTAAAAAAAAAAACTTATCAGACACTTCACTTGAAAACGCTTTGTAAAAGATAAATACCCCAAATGTATGCATCTATTCAAAAATCCTGTCCAAGGTCAAGTTATCTAATACAATTGATATTTCTTTGAAAGGGCATTCTTTCATTCCTTCAAGATCTTAGTATATTTTTAACTCAAATGTCTAAATTATACCTCACTTATAAAACTACCTTCCCTTCTTTCCATCAATAATGCTAAGCATATTTTAAAACTAATCATGATTTATTATGAATGAATGTAAGAATGTATGAGTGAGTGAAATGGACCATAATCTGACAGATAAACCGATAGCTCTTTGAGTGTGAAAACCATTCCACATTCCCACGTGAATAGATGAAAATGAAAGGAGAGCGTGAGAACAACCTCTAAATGCTCTCCTAGTCCTAAATACAAATCAAAAGAGGAATGAGATTAGTAACTGTAAAACTAGTGTTAAAAGCAACTCTCTTTGTTTAAAGAGATTTATTTTTCCAAGAACAGGTAGTCACATAATGCAGCTAAGAAAATTAAAGAGAAATTTCCTCATAAGACAAGTAAAATTACACACAGAGAGACAGATATACACATACATGCACAATGGACATACATTTAATGCGTTCTACATTGTGACAGCTAGAACTGGACATGGAACAATGGACTGGTTCCAAATTGTGGAAGGAATACATTAAAGCTGTATATTGTCACCCTGCTTATGTAACTTATATGCAGAATACTCCATGCAAAATGCCAGGCTGGATGAAGCACAAGCTGGAATCAAGATTGCCAGGAGAAATAACAACTTCAGATATGCAGATGATACCACTCTAAAAGCAGAAAATGAAGAGGAACTAAAGAGCCTTTTGATGAAAGTGAGAAGGAAGAGTGGAAAAGCTGGCTTAAAACTCAACATTCAGAAAACAAAGATCATGGCATCTGGTCCCATCACTTCATGGCAAACAGATGGGGAAACAATGGAAACAGTGACAAACTTTATTTTTGGGGGGGCGGGGGGCTCCAAAATCACTGCAGATGGTGACTGCAGCCATGAAATTAAAAGACGCTTACTCCTTGGAAGGAAAGCTATGAAAACCTAGACAGTATTTTAAAAAGCAGAGACATTGTTTTGCCAACAGGTCTGTCTAGTCAAAGCTATGGTTTTTCTAGTAGTCATGAATGGATATGAGAGTTAGACTATAAAGAAAGCTGAGCTCCAAAGAATTGATGCTTTTGAACTGTGGTGTTGGAGAAGACTCTTGAGAGTCCCTTGCACTGCAAAGATCAAACTAGTCAATCCTAAAGAAAATCAGTCCTGAATATTCATAAGGACTGATGCTGAAGCTGAAACTCCAATACTTTGGCCACCTGATGCAGAGCTGACTCATTAGAAAATACCCGGATGCTGGGAAAAACTGAAGGTCGGAAGAGAAGGGACCAACAGAGGATGAGATGGTTGGATGGCATCATCAACTCTATGGACATGAGTTTGAGTAAGCTCCTGGAAATGGTGAAGCACAGGGAAGCCTGGCTTGCTGCCGTCCATGGGGTCGCAGAGTTGGACATGACTGAGTGACTGAACAAAAACAATGTTTGTGACAGGAATTCTTAGTGAAATTCCAGTTCAATCCCTTTTCATGTATCTCTGAAAAGACTATATCACTTATGGTTTAATAAGAATTTGAATTATTGCTAATATCTCTGAGAAAAGAAGAGGTAATATTTGTACAAAAGTTTTGAAATTCAAAGGAAGAATAGTCAGCAGTGTTTATCATTTTACCCACTACCTACAAAGTTATATGTAACTGAAGTGAGAAAATAAGAGCACTAGCAGTGAGACAGGAAATTATGTCCAGTTTAAACCCTAACTTTTGTTACATTATTAATTGATGAAATATTAATACAGGATTGATAAAGGTCACAGAGGGAATCACTGAATAATATACAAATCAGATCCACACACCTTATAAATAAACGACTCTATGTTAGATTTATATTGCTGACTTGAGTAAAGGGTAGAGCTCCTTAAAACACCACCTTTTTTCCTGAAGCATTGTAGTTAACACTTTAGAAAAGTCCCCTTTTTATGTGCTTATAGGATGAATGATTTTTTAAAGCAAATCAAGAGTAAAGAACACATTTGGATTGATGTTTACAGAATAGGCGGTAATTAGTGTTGCAATTTGTGTTGATGTAACGAGTAAAACACCATTGCTTGTTTTCGGATGGGTTATTCATACTAAATGCTTTAGTCAGGGTTTCTAGTGTTAATTTAGATTTATTCCATGCTGTAAATGTTGTTCTAACAGCAGAAAAAGGCTCTGATGCCTTTCAGAGAAATGTTAATCACAGTCCACTGAATCTATATGTAATATTATTTAGTGCCATTATCACTCTTAGAAATTTCCAAATTTTTACTTCTCTGTTATTTATTTGTGTTCATGGGCCTCATTAATGTAGTAGAGCCCTTGTACTCTAACGAGAAAGAGCAACTACAAGAGCAAATCTCAGTTTTAGCTCTTGCCAATAGTAGCATTGCGATGACAATGAATACGCAGAGAATTAATGAATGTAAAATCATGAATGATTACATACAAGAAGCCAAAGCAGATCACACATTCATTCTCTGGGTTTCTTTCAGTGGCTGAAGAAAAAGAAAATAGAATTAGCTGACTCAAAGTCCTACCAGTAGAGACTGGCATTTTATAAAATATGCTCTCCAAAATCCTAATAAAGAGGGAGATGTTTTCAAAAAGTAAAACTAAATAAATACAGGTTCTGTGATTTGTTTGTTAATTTAAAAAGAAAACTGGAAGTACTTATAACTTGAATCAATAAAGTTTCCCATCATTTTTGATTTGGTAGAAATAATAATTGAAAATTATATAAGGATTTATTGGGAAGAAACAGTCAAAATAATTTTCTATAATATACTTTACTTTAGCAAAGACTGTTTTTGTGTGTGTGTGTGAAACAGGGTTTTGTAAATAAAATATTTGTAATAGACATATTGTATTTCAAGTGATTTGAAATACTCTGACAGTATGCTTGCCTCTGAAATTTAAAAAGAAAAATAGAAAAGAAACCTTTGAACCTGAGAATTACCTTTCAATTCAGGCAGTCTTCAAAGAGAAAAAAAAAAATAGTTTTAGAAAAGTTTAAAATTTTTGTTTTCCTTATTAATCTTTGAACCCCAAATTCAAGGTACATATTAGATTTCCTAATTAGTCTTCATCTAAGAAGAGGTGGCAAGAATACACTGAACAACTATACAAAAATGATCTTCATGATCCAGATAACTGTAATGGTGTGATCACTCAAATACAGCAAGACATCCTGGAGCCCAAAGTTAGGCGGGCCTCAGGAAGTATCACTATGAAGAAAGCTAGTGGAGGTGATGAAATTCCAGCTGAGCTATTTCAAGTCCTAAAAGATGATGCTGTTAAAATGCTGCTCTCAATATGCCAGCAGATTTTGAAAATTCAGCAGTGACCACAGAAATGGAAAAGGTCAGTTTTCATTCCAGTCCCAAAGAAAGACAATGCCAAAGAATGTTCAAACAACTACATAATCTCACATGCTAGCTAATTCTCCAAATTCTCCAAGTGAGGCTTCAACAGTATGTGAACCAAGAATGTACAGATGTTCAAGCTGGATTTAGAAAAAGTAGATGAACCAGAGAACAAATTTCCAACATCTGTTGGATCATTGACAAAGCAAGAGAGTTTCAGAAAAACATCTACTTCTGCTTTATTAACTACGTCAAAGCCTTTGACTGTGTGGATCACAACAAACTGGAAAATTCTGAAAGAGATGGGAATACCAGACCACCTGACCTGCCTCTTGAGAAACCTGTATGCAGGTCAGGAAGCAACAGATTGATGCTTTTGAACTGTGGTGTTGGAGAAGACTCTTGAGAGTCCCTTGGACTGCAAGGAGATCAAACCAGTCCATTCTAAAGGAAATCAGTCCTGAATATTCATTGGAAGGATTGATGCTAAAACTGAAGCTCCAATATTTTGGCCGCCTGATAGGAAGAACTGACTCATGGTTAAAGACCCTGATGCTGGGAAAGATCGAAGGCAGGAGGAGAAGGGGATGACAGAGCATGAGATGGTTGGATGGCATCACTGACTCTATGGACAAGAGTTTGAACAAACACCAGGAGCTGGTGGTGGACAGAGAGGCTTGGTGTGCTGTAGTTCATGGGGTCACAAACAGTCAGACACGATTGAGGGACTGAACTGAGCTGAACTGTGGAGGATGGGGGTGGAGTAGAAGTTGCCCCAATAAGATTCAAAATCATTTGAATATTGACTATTTTGAAAAATTAGCTTGACTTTCCCTTTTATGTAAAATATTTAGAAATACAAACTTTCTTGAGTAGGTTGGGGGAAAGAATTCAATTTTATCATTGCTGTTGATGTATACAAACAACATCAAAGAACCTAAAGATACAAACTAGAAAGAACATAAAGCCTTTCCCCAGTCACAAGTGCGATCCATAGCTGTCAAGCAGGAGAAATCCCAGACATGGATGCTGATAGTGCCGCTTTCTTAATACTTTGTCATGCATGTCCTTTCCAAAGACCTTGTGGTCTCTTTCTAGGTGGCTCATTGGTAAAGAATCCACCTGCCAATGCAGAAGATGCAGGAAACCCAGGGTTCGATCCCTGGGTCAGGAAGATCACCTGGATAAGGAAATGGCAATGCATTCCAGTATTCTTGCCTGGAAAATCCCATGGATAGTGGAGCTTGGCAGGCTACAGTCCATGGAGTCCCAAAGAGTCTGACACAACTTAGCGACTGAGCACACATGCACGTGGTCTTTAGTACATAAGGTACAATAATGCTTCACACTGGTTCTGTGCTTAAAGAATAAGATTACAAAACTTTATTTATTTTTTTTTTATTAAAAGTTTGCTTTATTTTTCTGTTGGATCAAGTATCAATACTATCTCCCAATTACATTTTATGCCTTACAAACATTAGCACAGTTAGTATCACCTCATCAACAACTGAATAATAAATCAAACTAGGTCCCGGTGGTTAAGTCCATATCTAGATTGCCAGGGTGATCAGGAACTCTTATTTATTTGCTTTAGCTTTTAGTTCTTGGTTATATCTCCAAATACGAAATAGCTGAGAGGCTCCTGCTGTCCCAACAAAGAAATTAACAGCAAATAGACTCCAGTTTTTTGGAATAATTACAAGTGAGTATCTTGACCAAATAAAGCCTGTAGCCATCAAAACAGCAGACTGAGCCGTGCTGAGCTTCTCTGCAGGTCTGGCCATGTCAGCCAATCCAGCACACACCAGCCCCCATTTCATAATTGGAGCCCAGAAAAATACTGTTCTGGGACCTGCCGGGTGGTTGTACAACGGCCTCAGTTTTTCAGGCAGCAGGAGCTCCACTCTATCAAGGACCCGGTGGTAGGTGGCCCGCAGGCCCCGGACGCCGGCGGCTGACATTTCTGCGGACGAGTGATCGTGGGCAGCCGGGTGGTAGCGTGGCCGCGTGCTCGTCCCTGGCTGGCAATGTAGGGCAGCCCGTCACTCTCCCCTGTATCAACGCCTCGCGCCCTCTCTCCCCGGGTGCCTGCCCTCCCCGTGGCTGAGCCTGACCCCCCAGCGAACCACCCTTTGGCCCGCGCCCAGAAAAGGTTGTGGGGGCGGAGACTCTAAGATTACAAAACTTTAAAAGGGTATACAAGGAATGCAGCCTCAAATAATCCAAAGATAGAATATGTTATGTGATTCATCATTTAAGTGATGAATATCTGAATCATCTATTTTTAGCTCATTTTTTCTTCCTTCCTTTCTTTCTTTCTTGGTCTCACTTGACAACTGATTACCATAGAAACAATTGTAGTAGTCACATAGTCACCATGATGGTCACAAGATTCTATGTAAAGCTTTTAGAATTATCCTTTCATGAATGGAAAGTAGTATGAGTGCTTAGTCGTGTCCGACTCTTGGCAGCCCCAAGGACAGTAGCCTGCTAGGCTTTTCTGTCTATGGAATTCTCCAGGTAAAAATGCTGGAGTGGGTTGCCATTTCCTTCTCCAGGAAAGTAGTATAGATGGTGCCAATTTCAATTGATATTAAAATATATTGGTAACAAATGTATATGTATAATGCATTTTTTAAAATTTCTCAAATCAATGCATTATCCCCCAAACTCTCTTATATTGGAAGAAACACATCTGAGGCACTTCCACATGTGAGAGAAACAGTAAAGATGGAAAGGCTTCCTTGAGCCAAAAAAATCTATACCTGTAGATAGATAGCTAGAACAATTTGGTAGGAATAAAGTTTCAATTTCAAAATGTGGAGACATACACAGAATCTTAATTCAAATCCTCTGTGATTTCTTTAAAGGATTTAGAACTAAATGTAGTCTCTTAAAATTAACTTTGTAAATAAAACTCTATCCCTGGTATACAAAAAGCAAAGAGTAAGACATCCATAGGTGTTATCAAAAATGCCAAAGCTTCATCTTTTAGCAGAATGTCAGTGTTCTCATTTTTAAACTGAAGATGTCAGTTATCTCCCCTGTAAGTGAATATAATTTTCTGTAATATAAATCATTGACAGAAATATGCTGTTTTCTGAACATCTGAACTCTGTGTGCATAAGTAAGTAAGTGTTAGTTACTCAGTCATGCCCGACTCTTTGCGACCCCATGGACTGCAGCCCACCAGGCTCCTCTCTCCATGAGGTTTTTCAGGCAGGGATACTGGACTGGGTTGCCATTTCCTTCTCCAGGGGATCTTCCCAACCCAGGGATCGAACCCAGGTCTCCTGCACTGCAGGCAGATTCTTTACTGTCTGTGTGCATACCCTTAGTAAATTTGTTTCATTCATAAATGTGTTCCTATACATTATTTGTTTGAGCTAGCTTATTTGTTATTAACATATTATATATAATGCTCTGAAAATTTGCTCAACAAGATTTTATGAAAAATTGAATTTTTTATGAATATCTTAAACAAGCAGGTAAATATTTATACTCAAACTGGAAAAAAAACCTTATCTTGACTTTATTTGGTGTACCTTAGAACTTGACATGGAAAGTATTAATATTAAGCCACTGACCCATTTATGTAATCTTTCTTAGCTATGAGCTTTCCTGAGTTTAGTAAGAGTCTTATATTGTCAAAATAATAAAGTCAATTATCTCTTCCAGAGAGAAAATCATGAAAGATTATGGCCTAACATTGTGCCTGAAGGACTGTAAAAGATCTTTGAGTTCATTAATTTCACTAATGTGAATAATATAATAACTATTTTTCATCAGTATTCTAAGGATAAATGAGATTTTTCTGTCATGCTGCAGTAATGTATTAGTAATGATACCACAGAGGCACCTCAATAATTATGCTAACCAGTGCAGGGACAAACTAGGCACTGGGTAAAATAAGATCTAATATATGGAATTTCTCAAAAGAAAGATTTATCAATGGAAATGTATTTTAAGTGTGGTGGGCTCTACAGTACTCTGAGAGTATTTGGTCTCTTCTTTTATCTTTCAAATTTCCATTATTGCTATCCAGAAAGATTAGCTATTGATAAATATAGTGTTCATTCTTCCAAAGTAGTCAATAAAAGAGAAGTGAGGACATCAGTAAGAAACTCTTTTCATACAGAGTTTATATTATCCTAAATTCAGTTGCACTTGTTTTCTCTTTAAGAAATTAGACTTAATGTTACCTTTACTATTCAAACATAAGAAGTAGCTCTAACGTGCCTTCATTTTTTAAAGAAAAAAAATATTTACTAAATACAGTATACTAACAAATACTGTATTATAATTATCATCAAGTAAATCTATGCTGCAATTAAGCATATATAAGAATAAATAGTAGAGACAAGATGTCTTTAGTCAGATTGTGGTGAATAAATTAGGAAATAGTATGGATGAAAGAAAAGATACAGATTAAAGTAACATACAGCATAGAAACTGAAAAGATGTTCACAATATGATGCAGTGAGATTTAAGAATATATTAAAAAGAACTCAGGATTAGTTGAGGATTAATGCATTTAGTAAGGAGATGTTTCCTTTTTTAAAATTTCAAACATTAAAAACAGATTAGAACAGAATGAGAAGTTTGTTTGGAAACCTTGAGAAGGATACAATATTCAAGAAATAATACTAATAATATATCTTTGAGAGAAAATTTTTAAAAGAGGAACATGATATATTCTAAACTAAATATATAACTAAATATATATGTATATTTACATAATTATATATAAAACTATGTATAATTATATATAAAATATATAACTAAAATATAACCCTAATGGTTGTGATATTATGACAATCTTATATGTATAATACAATTTTCTTTAATAAATATTTATTGGATCTTCTACAACAGGTCTTGTTCTAGGTAGCTCTGTTATATCAGAGGATAAAACAGACGAAAAAAAAAATTACCTGCCTTCTCTGAATTTATATTTTAGTGGTGAAAGAGAAAAAATAAACAATCAACCTGAGGATAACTTTGTAATTGTTAGAAGGTGACAAGCACTATGGAAAAATTTAGTGCAAAGATAGGAAGTTTGCAAGTTGATTTTTAGGAGCTGGCCAGATCACATTTTAAATAGTCCTGTCTAGGTAGAAATCTTGAAAAGGTGATGATTTTGTAAGACCTGAAGCAAATGACCTTATTTACTAATTACATTACATAAATTTGATATGTCTATAGTTTATGTAACCTAAGGCTTATTATCTACTGTGAATACTTTTATATTCTATAATAGGGAAAAGGAAAAATTACACTTACATGTATAAGACTTTTGAAATTATATTAAATTATCAGACTCTGGCTTTAGAACTTTTGGTGGCACAGTGGTAAGAATCCAGGAGAAGCAAGAGACACAAGTTTAATCCCTGGGTTGGGAAGATTCCCTGGAGTAGAAATAACATCCCACTCCAGTATTCTTGCCTGGAATATTCCATGGACAGAAGAGCCTGGCAGGCTACAGTCCATACAGTTACAGAGTCAGACATGACTGAGCACACACACACACACAACCATTTTTAAACAAAGATATTCAACATCTTTTCATGTGTTTTTTTGCCATCTGTATGTCTTCCTTGGAGAAATGTCGTTTAGTTCTTTGGCCCATTTTTTGATTGGGTCATTTATTTTTCTGGAGTTGAGCTGGAGGAGTTGCTTGTATATTTTTGAGATTAATCCTTTGTCTGTTGCTTCATTTGCTATTATTTTCTCCCAATCTGAGGGCTGTCTTTTCACCTTGCTTATAGTTTCCTTTGTTGTGCAAAAGCTTTTCAGTTTCATTAGGTCCCATTTGTTTATTTTTGCTTTTGTTTCTAAAATTCTGGGATGTGGGTCATAGAGGATCCTGCTGCGATTTATGTCGGAGAGTGTTTTGCCTATGTTCTCCTCTAGGAGTTTTATAGTTTCTGAGGGATGGGGTGGAGAGGGAGGTGGGAGGGGGGACCGGGATGGGGAATACATGTAAATCCATGGCTAATTCATTTCAATGTATGACAAAAACCACTGCAATGTTGTAAAGTAAATAGCCTCCAACTAATAAAAATAAATGGAAAAAAATAAAAAATAAACAAAGATATTCATACTGTATACTTAAGCTTTCCTGAACTTCTTAGAAATTCCTTAAGACATGTATTGCAATAATTTCCATAATATAAGAATAAAAATTGCACAAGCTTCTTAGAGGGTATTTTCTAGGGCAGTAATATTTCAAGAATTAAATTTTAGCTAGTACAACTAGATATTTATTTATAAGAAATTTATTAAATGCTGTTGTGTACCTTAGTCAAAAGACTATAGAACAGATAAAAACATTAATCTTTTGCTTACTATACAGTATAGCAAAGTCAAATAATTACAAATTTGGAAATATTAGTGAATAATCCTGTTTCTTTGCTATTTTGCAAAGATAAAGATTTATATTATAATAGTTGCCATGGTTTCAACATACATACCAGATATATTGTGGGAGAAGTGTGATTTGTTAATATTAACACCAAATCATATTAGGAATCTTTATTAAATAGTGTTATGTGAATATTCTTATTTGTTCATGTATTTAAAAAGTAAGTATTCTTATTGAGATGAAATAGATGGGGGTGTACAAATCCTTTGTTGAAACTACTAAGCCACCATATTCTATTTTTCTATATTTTATAAAATGTGGGACATTTACCTTAACTTCAATACCAGTGAGATTCATAGAGATGAAGATTTTCCAGGAAGATTGAAATGTTAACATGAAAAAGATTATGGGGAACACAAACTCACTAGAGAAACAGCATATCAAACTCTATAAAACAAAACACTTTATAAATATTGAATATCAAGTTTAAAGGATGAACCTCAAAGATGTTTCTTATCCACCCAGCCAATATGATACCTTTGAGAAGTCAAAGTGTGTGTAAGTGTTAGTCATTTAGTCATGTCTGACTCTTTGTGAACCTGTGGGCTATAGCCCGCCAGGCTCCTCTGCCCATGTAATTTTCCAGGTGAGAAAATTGGAATGGGTAGCCACTCACTTCTTAAGAGAATCTTTCTGACTGAGGGATCAAACCCAGGTCTCCAACTTTGCAGGAAGGCTCTTTACAATCTAAGCCACCAAGGAAGCCTTGAGGAAGCAAAATCTTTTGTCAGTTCTGTGCAAA